TTGGCACGTAAACTAAACCCTTCTATAACACACACACACACATACATAAAATCAAGAACACCACAAACTTAACTAGCAAGTTGCTGCTAGAGAGGGATGGTTTGATAACTATTTCACTTATCAGAATACTTTTGAACTTTGATCGTCTCGTGGTGAGAGAAACAGATGAGCAACCATCATTAAGCTAAACATATTCTCCAGACGAAACAAAAGATAAACCCTAAACCCTAATGGCATGTATACAGGAGAAAAAGGACAAAGGAGGGAGGAGGAAGACGAAGGAGGAGGCTATGAAAATGAAATGAAGAGTTCTATGCTTTGGTTTGGTTTATATAGAGGATCTGAGAGGGTCTTCTAGGGCAACCGGTGAGGGGGTTTGGGCAGCGGGCAGGTTGGTGGCATGGAAGGAAGGGTTTCGGGCAGCGGTGTCTGAGCTGCCCAAATAATAAACAAATGTGCAAGTTGGATGCTTATCTCTTCTTATAGTAGTAGGGTCGGAAGGAAGGGTTTTGGGCAGGTGTCTGAGCTGCCCAAATACTAAATAAATGCGCAAGTTGGATGCTCATCTCTTCTTATGGTAGGTGATGAAGCTCACGAAGCCGCAAAGAATAGGAAGGGAAATAATAATCCGCAAGCTAACTCAATGAAAATTTCTATTCAAATTTGGTTACTCATCGTCTCAACTCAAGTACATCTTATTTAAACTCGAAAATGACACATAAAATAGTAAATAAGAATTAAAGGAAGAGCTAATATTCTAGACACAATTCACCAACAAATTCCCAACATTATTTAGTACAATAATCTTCAAACTTGATGAGTATTTTACTCTCCCTCTTCGGAAGCTCTTCGGAATTATCAGGTTTTCGTTTACAAACAATTCATAGTTGAGACCCAAGGGTGGCTCCTTGGCATTGGCATTGGAAATTCAAGTAATAAAGGCATTTTACTTGAATTGCATAAAGCTTGATAAGTCGCATTAGAGATTGTTGATGCACAAAACCGGAGGGTCTTGGAACAACGTAAATTCGACCATGAATCTGCATAAATGTAAAGAACACAAGATGTATTATGGTTCACCCCAATGTTTGGGCTACGTCCACACTGATGTTAATTGTATTTCTCTGTAACTGTATGTATGAATTACAAGTGTGAGGGGGAGTCCCTCAGAGAAAGAGAGAGTTTGAGAGAGCTTTGCTCTGAATATGAGAGCCTCTGTTTGGGGATGTGAGGCTTGAGGATTGTGAGGATGAGGAGTCCCTTTTATAGACTAAGGGCTCCTCCCCTTTTACATAGATCATGGGCTCAATGTCTGGAAGCCCAAGTAACGAGGCTCAATATAATATGATACTAACAGTAGTCCCCCAAGTCTTCAGTCAAGAGAGTCTTTTGGCTGGAGACTTGAAATTCAGTCCATGTGTGGGCCGAAGTAACTAGATGTCGTCTAGAATTGATACTCGATATGAGGTGGTGCCCAATCTGAAATGATGCTCAACTAGAAGTAGCACATATTGCGAGGTTGACTCGGCTTGTGGCGTTGAAGGTGAGGGAGTCCCTTTTATAGAACAAGGGTTCGCTCCTCAATGCATAAATGATGGGCTAGACTTGATGCTCGCGGCGAGGCGGTTGCTCAGCAGGCGGCGATGCTTTCTAATGATGGTGAGGGAGTCCCTTTTATAGAATAAGGGTTCGCTCCTCAATACATAAGTGATGGGTTAGGAGTGATGCTCGTGGCGAGACGGTTGCTCAGCTGGCGGCGATGCTCTCTAATGAAGGTGAGGGAGTCCCTTTTATACAATAAGGGTTCACTCCTCAATACATAAGTGATGGGCTAAGAGTTTCTCTCTAATGAAGATGAGGGAGTCCCTTTTATAAAATAAGGGTTCGCTCCTCAATACATGAATAATAAGTGCTCTCTAATGAAAGTGTGGGAGTCCCTTTTATAGAATAAGGGTTCGCTCATCAGTACATAAATAATGGGCTAAGTCCCCCAAGTATTTTTCATGAGGCCCAATTGCGGAAGCCCAATATATGTTACATAGTGTAGTCCCCCAAGTATTCAGTCAATAGGGACTGTTGGCTGGAGATTTCAAATTCAATCCATGTATGAGCTGAAGTGGCGGTTGTTCGGAGATGGTCTTTGTATACCATGCACTAAAGCTTTGTAGGTGATGCTTTGAAGTCGGAGCTTTGTAGGTGAAGCTTTCAAAGCTAGAGCTTTTGTAAATGAAGATTTTGAAGCTAGAGCTCTGTAAATGAAGCTTTTGAAGCTGGAGCTCTATAAATGAAGCTTTCGAAGCTGGAGCTCTGTAAATGAAGCTTTCGAAGCTGATTGACATGAGTGATGCTCATGAATATTTATGTTGATTGACATGAGTGATGCTCATGGATGTTGACATGAGTGATGCTCATGAATGTTGTGAAGAGGGATGCTTATGTATGATTGACATAAGTGATGCTCATGAATGTTTATGTATGATTGACATGAGTGATGCTTATGTATGATTTTTTTGAGTACTAGACGTACTTTTGATCATCTAGTTGGTGATAATAGCGGCAGGCTGCCGAATAATTTTGGAGTACTGGATGTACTTTTGATCACCTGGTTGGTGATAATAGAGGGTGAACTTTAAGTTGAGGGATGAAGGTTGGAGTTTGAATCCATAAGGCCCGGCTCTTTGGGGCATATGGGCCTTCGCCCTCCACATAACATTCTAGCCCATTATATTGGTCTTGCCATTTTTTTTTCTTTCTTTTTTTGCATGCTGTCTTTTTTCTTTATTTATGATTACCCTCTGTTGGGGTTATACAGATGTCTCCAAAAAATAAGAAAAGTAAATCACATCATTCAAAACAAAGGTTTCGACACAAAAGCTTCGACAGTTACAGATCGTTGGTGCGTATTGCACCTACTGCGTACTAGGTTGTTGCAAATTTTTTCCATGTGCGTATTGCGCCTACTTAATGTTTTACCTTTTCCTTTCTCTTTATTTTTCTTTCTTTTGGCAGATGACAAACAAGGGAATAATGTCATTTCCTTGTTTTTGCAGAGGCAGATCAGGAGAGATGAGGATGAGATATTCTTCTTTCCTTCTTTTTCCCTTTTTTTTTTCTACTTTTGCTTTCTGATTTTCCTTTTGTTTCCCACTCCATTTCCAGACATCCTTTTGCTTTTCTTTTCTCTTTCCACTGCGCCTCTCTCTCTGTCTCTATCTCTGCGCTGCTGTCCATTTGTAAAAAACATCTTTGGAGGTCATCACTCATGAGCTCCACAACCATTTCTTTGGAGGTCATCAACCCACCTATGCTTGCATGCACCTGATCCAAGCCCATCATCGGCCACTACCACCAGCCTCGTCTCCTCCACCGCATCTTCCACAACCTCTCTCACCACTTCGGCCCCTTATTCGCCCTCCGGCTCGGCTCCCTCCAGTGCGTTGTAGTTTCCTCCCCGGACCTCATAAAAGAGTTCCTCAGCACCCACGAGATCTCCTTTGGTCTGAGACTAAGAGAATCTGGGAACTTCCAAGAGCAAAGATAGCATTCCGCCGACATCAACATCCTTGAGAAAATACTCATCCAGCTCTTTTATAATCTCAACCATATCCTTTGCATTTCTCGACACCACCATCGCCAGCTCACTTGTCGTCGTCCCGCTCTTTTTCGAAAATCCACTCACCACCGACGGCGGTTTCGCCATGCTCGCCGCAGTGACGGTGATCATCACCTCCGAAGCGGTAGTCGTAGCTTCCCACTCTTCTTTTGTCACTAGCCTTGAAGAGGAAACCGCAAATGGGTCCCAGAAATCCCACGTGGACGAAGGTGGCGGTGGCAGCGGAGGTGCGCGAGTTGTTGAGGGTGTCGTGGAAGTCGTCCACGAATCGGAGCTTGAGTTGAGTGGAGGTGGTGGCGGAGGCGGTTGTGGGGTTGGCGGGGTTTGTAGTGGTGACGGCTATGACTGGTAGTTGTTGTGGTGGCGATGATTGTAGTTGTGGTGGTGGTTGTAGTTGTTGAGCATTTAAAAACTGAAGCAGAGCAGAGCCCGTGCTGCGAAGAGAGCAGAGGTACATGGTGTGAGCAGCCGACCAAGCTTGCCGTGTTTTCACCAGCTGCTTCATGTACCGCTTTCTCGATTTGCATATCGACACCATTTCTTCCCGTTCTACCCTCGAATAGCAGCATCCCATTTTTGGTCCTGGTCAGCCCGATTTGCTCAAAAAATTACAGTGTTTTAGCAGCTATAAATTGACTTCTTCTTGTCGAGTTTTATGGGTTGGAAAAATAACATTGATAAACTTTGATTTGAATTTTGATCTCAACTCTTGGGTTTTTGCAGATTCACAGTGGTGAGATGAAAAAAATGAAAGAGAACCGACAGAGCTTTTCGTGTCGTTTCCCACAGATGGCGTCAAATGTTGATGCACAAAACCGGAAGGTCTTGGAACAATGTAAATCTGACCGTGAATCTGCAGAAATGTAAAGAACACAAGATGTATTGTAGTACACCCCAATGTTTGGGCTATGTCCACACTGATGTTGATTGTATTTCTCTGTAATTGTATGTATGGATTACAAGTGTAAGGGGGAGTCCCCCAGAGAGAGAAAGTTTGAGAGAGCTTTGCTCTGAATATGAGAGCCTCTGTTTGGGGATGTGAGGCTTGATGATTGTGAGGGTGAGGAGTCCCTTTTATAGACTAAGGGCTCCTCCCCTTTTACATAGATCATGGGCTCAATGTCTGGTAGCCCAAGTAACGAGGCCCAATATAATATGGTACTAACAGAAATTGTGGTGAGAGTTGCATAAGATGTTGTAATTTATTTGCTTTGTGCAATTGAAGTTAGTTGTTTCTCAATCTCAAATCAAGCGTTTTACTTAGTCATGTAGAGTGAATTAAAGATTAGCGACGTTGAGCTTGTTCCATTGCACCTGATTGAGTGAAGGTTACTATCCCCGTTCTTTCTATTTACGCTTGGCACTTATAGGATCAATAGGTGTAGCATTTGTCAAAAGCATATTATAGCTCAGTGTCATACAAAAGGGAATATGCTCAAATTATTCCCTTTTTAGGGTCATGAGTCGGTGGAACAAAGAAAATCAAACTCAAAGCTTATCATAATCATAATTCATTATTTTTTTCTCCTCAACACTTGAACTAGTTCTAAGAACTCTTGTGGTTCATTATTTCATTCTCCTCATCACTTGATAATCTCAAGAGCCTTGTGAGGAAACATATCTGAGAGACTAGCCATGTTTATTTTAGTATAATGTCTCTAAGAAAACATGAGCATGACTAAAGCGAAATGATTTATGCATTCCTATTTTTCCATTTGCACTCCTTCTAAGTGCAACGGGAGAAAAAGTGAGTGCAAAAATCACTTTCCACGACTGATAATAGTCCTCATCCATCTAACTACTGTTGTTAGATGTAGAATCTTGGAGCTTAGGTCATAACTACTGTTGTTACCGCCGTGCCAGATGTAGAATCTTGGAGCTTAGGTCATAACCACCGTTGTTACCGCGCGAGCTTGAATTTTCATGCCCTGAAAAATCAGAAAAGACGTGTTTCAATCTGCAGATGTGCATTCTATATAACAAATGAACAGAGATACAATGAGGTTAAGAAGCCCAACCACGTCGGTAAAATCCTCATGCTAGGTTGCTCAAGGATGACCTCCTAGCCCTTGGAGCCGTGTGGAGACTTGGCTTCCTGCTTTCAAGTTCAGAAGAGAAGTAAAAGGTTCAGGGAAGAAACAAAACATGACAATTGAAATAATTTATGCACATTTCAAATCGACAATTGACTTGGTTTCACAATTCCGACTCCCATGCACAAGCAAAATTTGCACACGCCCTCAAGTCCATGGAGATATCTATTTCTGGAAGAGGATCCCACAACGAACAGTTATCCGTGGAAAGTGAACCCTCCCCGCTTGACTATAAGGTTCCATTACACCAACTTGACAATTACAATTTGAGGGAATTAGAACAGACCTGCTGGGACTTTTGCAAGCTTCTGCTGTAGCTCCTTCTTCACTTCCACCTCCATGGGAAAAAATGCGCACTAGGTTGCTAAGTCACAATAAAAGAAAGTTGTAACACATACAAGCTGCACAATTTTGATTGGTAACAAAGGAACTGTGACTTAATATGTGAGATACTATCAAAAGGGCAATACCTATAAGACCCAGTCGCATAATGAAGTCCATCTCCACTGAAACAGCACCCAAATTTATCAAAAATGCGATCATTGCTATACAACTCAGATAACTGCAGGGGGTAAAGATGCTGTCATGCTGTAGGGATAACGGAGGAGCGGCATACATGGTTGTACATGTGAACTTAAAGATAAAAGCTGGTGATACCCATTGTATTCTTTTGCAACTCAATTCACAGGTTGTTTTAGACATTAACGAGGGGGGGAATTTATGAAGGAAGTTTGTGCTCCAATTATCCTTTGGAGCCAAAATGTTGTTCTTTCTTCCGCTTACCTTAGGGCGCAGGTGCTCATGGATCTTGTATATTGCAACTGGTGAAGAGTCCATGTGCATGTCCCAGAGCTAAAACAAAAACAAAAGCAGCAATCAAATTAAATTTGGCTCATGTAGTCGCGACTTAAGATGTGCCGCGCGCCCATCATTCGAAAACTTTCGATCAGAGACAGATGCAATAATTAATGCAAATTCCAAGTCCTCTTTCATCTCTACAAGGAAGAGATGATAACACCATCAAAACTAGCTGTCTGAGTTTTGTAAAGACCATTATATCCAGATTTACATAAAAATTGGTGCTAACAAACCGTCTAGTTCATGTGCTTCTTATACAGCAAGATGCAACTCCCACACCAATATGGTAGCAAATCATGTTATTTCTTAATTTGAGCTTCAAGCCATCCATAATTTAGTTTGCTCTTCTCTAAGAACTCCGTGCCGGTCTTGGAAGTACAATTCTAAAACTAATCTCCAATAAACAATTTAAAAGATACATTTTCCATGCCTGTGTTCCATCGGAACCAATAGATCCAACAGTAGAAACAGGGTTTGGACCATCCCAAGTCCTGCGGCCTGACTCCGGAACAGAATGTCCTGGCAAATCGGTAGGAGGAACGTGCGCTGAGCATTGAACTCTTCTCCCAGTTACTGTTTTGCAATCTTTCCTCCTCAAAGCACGCACCCAGCAACCGATGTTTTAACAAACCAAAAAAGATGTATTACACGTTATACAATACTATCAGTGCTGCAACAGTATAAACCCAGATGACAAATTCGGAGCTTCATACAAGTACAATTTCAACACAAAAAGCAGATAAATGCACTTCATCACGAACTTTCAGTCATACAATAATCAATTGGACCTCATCATATTACAAACACAGAAATCATAGAAGTGACAGATTTGAAATGTAATGTAAGCATGCACTTTGGATTCTTGGAATCATAAAAAGAGAAACTGTCCCGATTTTGTTTGTTTTCCAGCATTGTCTTGGAACCGAAACGGAGGAACTAAAGAAGGAGAAAATAGTAACTGAAACATGGAAGCTTGGGGAGGTGGCAGGATTTGGTGGAATTTTGATGAGGTAAAGAAGAGTACCAAACAAATAAACAAGACAAAATCCATGGAACACTACCTGCAGAGATCGAAGTGCATCAACGCTCAGGCAATGCAAGAAGCTCTATGAACTAATTAAGACTCTCAGAGAACAGCTTAAGCGGATCGATACCATCTGAGCTAGCAGAGCTGACTGAGCTGCAAGTAATCCTCGGTCTAAGCGAAAACTTCTTCTCTGGCGAAATCCCATCATCCCTCGGAGACCTAATGAAGTTGGAGAGACTAAATCTCTCTTCCAATAATCTCCAAGGAGAAGTTCCTGCCCCACTTGGAAAGTCGACAAGCCTGCACATGATAAACCTATCAAAGGACCATCTCCAAGGTCAAATCCCATCAACCATTTCAGGATTCCCACTCAGCTCCTTCTCGAGGAACACCAATCTCCGGCCACCATTAGCGTCATGTGTTCAGAATCTCGAAGGCCTAGGCTGGAATTCCAGTGCCCGTTGTTTTAACATCTGCAGTAAAATGTTGCTTTATGTCATGCTGAGGATGTGGTGCAACTGGAGAAGAGTTTCCGTTTCGAACTTGGACGGCGTGGGAGCAGCGGAGGCAGGCGGGACGGATTGCAAGAGGGAAGAGGAGAAATAGGGTTTTAGGAATGAGAAGAAAGGTGGTGTGGTGGAATCTTTAGCTCTGGTTTCGTCAAACGATACAGAAATGCAGCATGCATTAATTCTATTCTTCAACCCACGGTGAAGAAAAAGATGTCATTAAATAGTAAATACCGTTTCACTATTAGCTAGAACAAACACTAAGTTATTGTCAAGAATAGAGCACCAAACGTTCCTACTCATAGCGGAGCAAGAGCTACAGGGGAAGACATTAGGCCATCTCCAAAGTCCAGAGGGCCAGAAGGTCGAAAATAGCTCGAAAATCATCTTCAACCGAGGATCAGGACAGAGGGCTCATGGGCCCCACGGAATCTGAAAGGGCCAAAGGGCTAACCACATGCAGCCAGCCAGCCAACCCAGGCTGGTCAGAAAATCAGAGTATTCTTGTCGGTTATAACCGACAGGAATGCTTAAACAAAAATTTGAATGCAAGTTGTATACAAATTATTTTTTTGTTTTTTGGGCCAATTTTTTTTTTTAATTCTTAAAAATTCTAATTTTTTTTCCCTATAAATACCTAAACCATTCATTAAATTTAAGTTCTAATTTTTTTTGGTATTTTGGGTCAGTTACCGTTGTAGTTTTTAAATTTAAATTGTTGTTGGATTTGAATTTAAGTTGTTGAAGTTTTTAAATTAAATAATAAATTAGGTTTGGCTCTATAACCCTTTGGCTCTCTGTTGGAGATGGAAGCAAATATGACCTTGTATTATTCATTAAAATATTAATATCTTTGAAGGCTAGAGGGTTAAAACGAACCATCTGATCAGCCCTTAGTTGGAGATGACCTTATATTCTCAGAATCAGTGGAGTATTCTCTAAATGACTGAGATAAAACAAATAATCAAATTGGCGATAATGGAATCTTGTCAGATGACATTAGGCAAATCATTAAGTTAGTGCTTAATTTTTCGTCTATGTGTTATTTCCTTTAGCAATAATTTTTGTGCTTTAACTAATTTAAGTTACTGTTCTGTTCTGTACTTTTTTTCAAGGTTATTGTTCTTGGGCTTATGTATTTCCATAAGCGGCTAAATATCAGTGCCAAAACAATCTTTTTGTCGGTAGGGCGTGCAAAGCTAGGGTGCACCCGCTCAGAGGGTGATTTTTATTTAGGATGTGTGGGACTTGCCATGTTCAAAGTGATCTTCAAACTTCAAAACCTTCTAATACCCAGAACTTCTTCAAATGTGTGACAACATGAAGCAACCTGAGTAAGTAAATTCTCTCGGTTTGGTTTTGTTATTCCGTTCATTAGTGGAGAGATGTACAAAATGATAGAGGATTGTCTAGTCCTAACTCTTTTTTTGGACAAGTCTAGTCCTAAGTCTAACTAGTGGAATCCTATTAATATCATTATTTGGTTAATCTTGGAAATCACATGTAAGATTGTAAACGTATTAGGTGAGCTTCTGCATTTGCCATTGCTCCGCATCTTAAATTTAAGCTGTCTATAGTCACTCTCTGTCAATTCTCTTTACTTCGAATTTGCTTTGTTTGCCACTTAATTTTTTATCTTTTTACTCAAAGAGATGGATTTGCCACTTAATATTAGTGGGTAGTAATTGTAATCTTTCTAGTTATTTTAACTTTTGAGGAGTCTGAGTCCTTTTTTTTTTTTTTGGAAACATGTTTAATAATTTTTTTATATTTTTTTACTCAAATATATGGATTTGCCACTTAATATTAGTTGGTAGTAATTGTAATCTTTCTACTTATTTTAACTTTGGAGGAGTCTGAGTTTTTGCCTTCATGAACATGTTTAATAATTGAGTTTAACTTTTTTTTATAACTCAAATAGATGGATTTGCCACTTAATATTAGTTGGTAGTAATTGTAATCTTTTCTACTTATTTTAACTTTGGAGGCGTCTAAGACCTAGTTTGGGAGTGAGGTGCTTAAAAAAAAAACACCTATGAAAAAAAGCTGTGAGGGTTTTAGGTGTTTGGTAAACTGAAAAAAAAGGGCTTATTTTGGAAGCTGCTGTGAGAATAAGCTGAAATCAAAGGAAAAAGCTGAAGCTGCTATTTGCAGCTTTGGAAAACTGGCTTTTTTTCAAAGCACATGGAGCTACAGTGCTCCTTTAATGAAAAGACCCACTATCAGACTGCTTTTTTTTCCAAAAGCACTTTTACAAAAAAGTTTACCAAACGCTCTGCTGCTTTATTTCACAGCCGCTTATTCTCACAGCACAGCCGCTTATTCTCACAGCAGCTTTTTTTTCAAAGCACAGCAATACCAAACTAGCCCTAAGTCTTTGGCCTTCATGAACATGTTTAATAATTGAGTTTAACTATCAATTTACGATTTAGATTTACCTTTGTAATAATTTTGGGGAGTGATATTCACACACCCCATTTTACTTTTCATACACCCTTCTAATTTTCGGCTGTCAGATCGGATGAATTGAAGAAAATCAACGGATAGAAATTAACAAGGGGTGTGTAAGAAGTAAAATAGGGTGTGTGGATAACATAACCCATAATATTATATGTTTTGCCTCAGCCAAGTACCCAACATACACAGTCAACTCTAGGCTTGTTTCCTGTTTGCCTGTAGGTGTTTTCAACATGCCATTTAGTTTTCGAGTTAGAACCTCGAGCACATGTTCTATGTGTTTCCAAATTCCTTTCCCTTTTCATTTTCAGTTTTTTCTTGTTTTTTTTTTATTTTCTTTTTATGATGGCCTCCGAGAGAGATTTCCGGTAGCACGTGTACCAAAAGTGAGCGCATTGAGGAAGATGTTGAAGTTTTTAAAGACGTCTTCAATGAGTTTAGTGAGCAGGATAGGCATTCAAGGGACTGATATCGTTTCTCCATTAGCCAAAACAAGCACTACATCCTCAAACTCTTGTACTGGCTAATGGAGAAAGGATATTAGTCCCTTAAACGCCTATCCTGCTCATTAAACTCATTGAAGAAGTCTTTAAAAACTTCAACATCTTTCTCAATGCACTCACCTTTGGTATACGTGCTATCACAAATCTCTCTTGGAGGCCGTCATAAAAAGAAAATAAATAAATAAGCAAGAAAATTTTGAAAATGAAAAGAGAAAAGGATTTGGAAACACATAGAACATGTGCTCGAGGCTCCATCCCGAAAACTAAATAGCACGTCTTTAACAGCAGCTACAAGCAAACAGGAAACAGACCTAGAGTTGACTGTGTATGCTGGCTACTTGGTCGAGGCAAAACACATAATATTACTATAGTGGTAAATCCAAACCTCTATGAGGTAAATTGATAGTTAAACTCAATTATTAAACATGTTCATGAAGGCCAAAGACTCTTACCCTCCGAAGTTAAAATAAGTAAAAGGATTACCAACTAATGTTAAATGGAAAATCCATCTATTTGAGTAAAAAATATATATTAAGCGGCAAACAAAACGAATTTGAAGTAGAGAGAATTGATAGAGAGTGATATTGACAACTTAAATTTAAAATGTGGAGCGATGGCCAGTGCAGAAGCTCACCTAACATGGTTACAATCTTTCATGTGATTTCCAGGGTTAGCCAAATCATGATAACAACACGATTCCACTAATTAGACTTAGGACTAGACAATCAGATGTAATCCTCAATCATTTTGTACATCTCTCCACTAATGAACGAAATAACAAAACCAAACCATGTAGAGATAATTGACTTACTCAGGTTGCTTCATGCTGTCACACATTTGAAGAAGTTCTGGTATTGGAAGGTTTTGAAGTCTGAACATTAGTTTGAGCATCGCAAATCCCACACATCCTAAATAAAAATCATGTTCTTCATCATTTCTCCTTTTACGTTTTTCATGCTCTTACTCTTCCATTTTGATTTTGGTGTGTATTAGGATGAATGTAGGGTTTATATGGAGAAAAAAAAAAGGATGAGGTTGTAGATATTGCCACCTAGCATGCCGTGATTGGTTAAAAATCTTATCGAAATTTACCCACAAGGATTCTAGACAAATAGTGACACGTGGTGAGACGGGATTGGTTAAAAATCTTATTAGAAATTTATCCACAAAATTCTTACAGAATCATTACATGTGGCACTACCAAATTGGTTAAAAATCTACTAAAAAATATATCCACAAAAATTGTACTTCTGGATGACATATGACGTGACGAGGTTGGTTAAAAATTATATCCAAAATTGAAAATGAAATTATCTTTTATTATTTTCTAAAAAAGAATAATAATATTTTAACACCAATAGCTCGACTGTTTATTTTCGGTGTGGAAATGTAGTTTGTTTGGGCAATTTGGTAGGGGTGGAGTTGCTCTAAAGGCTTGAGGAATTCTGCAATGTTATTCCTCATGTTTAAATTTAATGCTTTTATTTATAGTGTTCCATGAGTTTCATGGTGTCGGATTAGTGATTTTTCAATATTTGTTGGAATCTAAATAGTTTTAGGTAAAAATGTTTATAAAAATAAATTAGAATTAGTCTACATGATTTTTATTTTTTTAAAAGTTACTTTAAGAAAAAAAATTATCCTAAATTCATTATTTAGTAATCTCGGGCTAAAAATTTAACTCATAAGGGTTGAAGCAAGAAAAATTGTTTTTGGGTAAAAAAATTTAGGTTTAACCCAAGGGTTTAAGATGGTCTAAGAGGGAAAAAATAATGCGTTCTCCAAGTAATACTAAGTCAAATAAAAAAGATCTTCTAAATCTCGAAAGATTCCTAACTTATATGTACTTAGGATTTACACAATAATATTGTGTTAAATATTAATTACAACATTCCTTAAGTGTAAATACTCAAGCAGTAGACACAACAGATCTTCAGGCAACTATGAAAGTAGTTGATGAAATCATCTCGTAGGCACAATGAGCGAATGCGAGTCTCAAAATATCGTGTTTTTCTACATGGTTCAAGTATATTCATCTAGTGTATGACTTGTATCCCTTTCTTGGTACACAACAGCATATGTAGTGATATGCTCGCCTTTGTTTAATGGGTGTTCATTTATGATTTACGGTTGTAAGTGAAGTCTCTCAATTTCGACAACAAACCAATACGGTCGATTTTTACAC